GATCATGGAGTGAATTGTGTGATTAAAAAAGATGTAACTGCTTAATATTTGCAGCTTCTGGCTGATCAATGTGACTATTTGGCACATTTGAAACAAATGAAGGGAGGGGTATTGGAACCCTTCTAAACCTCTTTTTTTGTCATAGACAAGTATATTTAGTTTAAGATGTTGGCTGCCCCTGGTGTGTTGTCAGCTCTTTTTTTGGTGTCCGTTCCACACGTGCTTCCTTGCATTTCATAATATCACAGAAACTACCACCCCTTCTCCCTAGTAGCATTTTATGTTATAACTTTTATTCCACATTAAATGGGAATTGTGCCTACTTAGAGTGCCCCTCCAATTCACTACATATACATGCCTAAAAGAATCCAAGCAGAGTCACAAGGTGGGAAATTTTTTTAAGTCCACTTGAGGCCAGTAATTTATCTGACGAAATATTTTACCACATTATCTTGACACTTGATATATGAGCCTATTAGGAGTTGCAGGTGGTTTCATAGAGCAAAATCCAAGGGAAGAGGGATATGTGGAGTTTCTATTGACAGATAATTTTGTCCTCATTTTACCTTTCCTTTTGTGATCCTTCTCTGCGAGGTTAGGATAGGTTAATTCTCCAAATTTATTTTATTTTTTATCTTTTAGGGAAATTTTTATGAAAGTGATGGTCTGATGTAAATAACATTTTAAAATATAGTGCACATAACTCCCCCAGACTATTCCAACCTGATAATTTGTAAATGCTTTAGAGTTTTTTAAATTAACACTTGTGTTGCTAAATCCTATTTATGTAAGTCTGCTACAAATTTTTAACCCACTTAAAACTTAAGACAAACCTTTAAATAATGGATGGGTTACTCTGAGCAATTTAGCTTTCAGAACCCCCTTGTTTTAGTATATGAAAAAGATAGCCTAATGCGCATTAATGAGGCTGGAGAGACTATGAGAAATATGTATAGTGTATATTTTAAAACAGCTTTGCTTGTATTGTGAAGATTTAAAAACAAACTTGAGATTTTTAACGTAACTATTAACACAGTTTTAACATAAGTTATCCCACTGGGTTTAAGAGCATCTTGAATGTATAATCCTTTTTGTAACCCAGGTTGGTTTCTGCTTTTACCAGTCATCCAAACATATTATTTATGTTTTTAATTTTATATATTCATTTCCCTTTGTTTTCCTCAACCAGCATGATTTTTTTGCACATGTATTGTAGAAATTTTTAAAAAGAAAATTAATACATCATTTTCTCTGGGTTTTCTTCACTTCTCTCTTCCTTTCTACTAACCCCTTACCTTAAAGGCCATATCGCTCCATTTGCATTATTTGTGCAAATGCCAGGGTTGGTTTTTTATTTTTATTTTTGCTATTTACCTAAAAGAAAAATGCTTCAGTCAATTGCTTTTTTTATTTAAAAAAGAAAAAAGAAAAGAAAAAAAGCTGTAACCTTATCATTTCTGAGTAGACCATTGAGAGATGAATGCACACCTGTAACAGCCCAGGACCAGCTTTGGTGGCTAAAGGGAATATTTTAACTAAGCAAGATGTTCTTTTCTAAAAGTGGTGTATATTATTCACAATCTCTTTCAGTTATTCCCACAAGTCAGGTCCAGATAAAATGAGGGTTATCAGCAAACTGATATGTTATCATTGAGGTTCATCAATGAATTTGTACATTTCTAGTTCCCTTTGGTGAAGGGAAAAATGATGATTTTGCAAGACCTAGATTTTGACTTGGTTTCTTGCCTCCTTTTTTGGCAGCCTACATCTTCTCATCTCCTAAAGCCCTTGAGCCTGTAGGGTTTTTGTAGTGGACGAAGGACTTGTGGTCTTTTAAAACTAGGAGTGAATTTTCTTTTTTTTTTTTTGGAGAAATTATCATCCTGAAAGTGATGTTCTGCCACTTTACAGATGACTAATTTTAAATAAACACAGTCCTCTCAATTTTCGGACCAAACAGACACCCACAGTGGAGGCTTATCAAGGGTTGCAATGGGGAAGAAGCCTCTCCCTCACTGTCAGCACCAGCTGGTAAAGGTGACTGTACAGATGTGCATTTTCCTTTTGGTAGAAATGGTCCACAGCACTAACTGGTAAGGCTTATTGTACAGTATATTGTCAGTATTCTTCTGGTTCAACATACCTTCTAGTTCATATATAACCTGTATTAATTGTATAGATTGTGCATTTAAAGCTGTTACCAAGTTGTCAGAACATAAGAGCGAAAACAAGGTCATATGTAATATTTTGTTTGTAAGTATCCTTTGTACAATAGCAAAGGAAATGTTTAAAAAAAATCAACTGTAATAAAGTAATTTTAGTACACAGTGTCTGCTCAGTTCTTTTTAAAGTAATTTTATCCTGCCCTGACTGGTGTGGCTCAGTGGGTTGGGCTTCATTCCACAAAACGAAAGGTCATTGGTTGGATTCCTGGTCAGGGCACATGCCTGGGGACCTGATTAGATCCTCAGCTGGGGGCATGTAAGAGTCAACAAATCAATATTTCTCTCCTCTTCTCCCTCCCTCCCCTTCTCTCTAAAAATAAATTTTTAAAAATTTTATCGCCATAAAGTATATTCAATTTAGTGACTACTGGATAATTACTGAACCTCAGGCACTGTGCTGGATGTTGAGATTATAAAGATGAATAAGATATGGGTGAGAGTAAAACTGATACAGACATAAACCCTCTAGTCTAATTGCCTCAAATTCTGTTTGCCAGAAACTGAAGTGGCCTATTGTATTATGGGTGTCAGATGATTCATAGGTATTAACAGTTTAATTCAGGTCCTTAAATTTTAAATAGACCTATCTGTGGTTTATATAACTACAACTCCTACCACACACAGACACAGAGATATATGCAGTGCTTGGGCATTGTAGAAAATCAAAAGGTGGCTTCATCTGGGCTTATCTTCCCAAATGTGAAAATCATCACATTTTAGCCCTATATGGGGCAGAATACCTTAATCCAGTGCTGTTAAAGTGATATTTTTTTTTTCAGAAGCTACTTTGGGGCAAGGGCTTCATGGACTGGGGTTTCCATGGTTTTTAATGAGAAAATGGTTTTGCGTGTCTTTTTTTTTTTTTTTTTTTTAAGATTTATTTTTAAATGGGAAGGGAGGGAGAAAGAGAGATACATCGATGTGCGGGAAACATCCATCAGTTGTCTCCTGCACACTCCCAGCTGGGAACCTGGTCCACAACACAGACATGTGCCTTGAAAGGGAATCAACCAGCAACCTTAAGTTTTGCAGGAATATGCCCAACCAACTAAGCTACACGGTTCAGGGCCTAAGTGTCTTTTTTTTTTTTTTTTTTTTTTTTTTTTTTTTAAGTATAATTGAGATTACCTCCTGTATTAAATAGAAGACTGTCAGAAAAATGGCACCCTTACCTTTTTAGTATAGCTTTTTAACTCCCAGGATGTTGTTATTGAGCTATTTGGAGATTAGTTAACATTCACTAGTGTTTAATTTGCCAAAAGAAATTTGAACATAAAAGGTTACAAGCTGGTGCTATCACTGGCATCTCATTGATGCCAGCTGCAGGACTATGGTTCTGTATGCGTCATGGACACTTAGTGACTCTAATTAACACCGTATTTTCAGGTATTCCTTTGCTTAAAAGATTTTATTTATTTTCAGAGAGAGGGGAGGGGAAGGATAAAGAAGGGAAACATCATTGTTGCCTCTCACACACCCCCAAATGGGGACTTGCCCTGCAACCCAGGCATGTGCCCTGGCCAGGAATCAAACTGGTGACCTTTTCATTCACAGGCCAGCACTCAATCCACTGGACCACATCAGCCAAAGCCAGGTCTTAGTGGACAGAGGTAGACAAGGTTGCTGAGAGCACTAAGGCTATGCAAGCGATAAAATAAATTTCAATTTCTAAATGTCGTTTATAAGGTGTGTAGCTCTCCCATGGAATGGTACACTCCAGCATCTCTAAAGACACATTTTTTCCCCTTTTGTTATCCTCCCTTTACATTATTAAGCCTAAGATGAGCATTATTTACTGTCATCTCTGCCAGTGATTGACTAGGAAAAGGCAAATAAGTATGGCATAAATAGCAGTGGATTGGGTTCTGGTCCTTAGCCCCACTACACTAATTGTGAGATCTTGAAAGTCACATTGTCTCTGAAACTTCATCTCTGAGAAAGGAAAACAGGTGGTTTTGGCTGGACCAAATGGACCAACGCAAAACCTATTAGCTGTCATAACATGGTTATCAGAGTGCATGCATGTGTTTGGGCAGAGGATGCGGAGACTGCCCTCAGTTGGGCAACCCAGGATGCAGCCTGTGAGCCTCAAAAGATGCTGCTCTTCCAGGCCCTTCCCAACTTTGCAGTGGAATTAATAACTGGAACTTCTTGGCTTTATAAGAATTAGAGAATGGAGTCTGATCTAAAAGTAATGCCAGTTGTCAGGTCTTTGAGCTCCAGTTGAGAAATTAATAGACATGGAGAATGGGATCTACTTGCTTTTACTACCTCATCCTAGCAGACCTCCTAAATTAAGGCCTCAGTCTTTTCATATGGAACAACTCAAAATAACTTCCACAGGCATAGGAGTCACTGATGAAATACAAATTAGAACCCTCTCCCCCAACTCCAAACTACTTATTCAGTACTCTTGCCAATGCACAAATTACTGATTGCCTACTAGAAAATATCTCCATGTAGGTACTTTTTTGAGGATCAGGGAATTTTGAGCCTGCTGGGAAATTATCAGCCCAGAGCAGGAGGCCTGGGTGTTGATTAAACAGCTGCCACTGGTTAGTGTTAGGGACATAAGACTACATCTACAGCAGTGAGGCAACAAACAGCGCATAGAGAATGTAGAATGTGCAGGGAGGCTTTGTTAACTCCACAGGTAGGTAAGCATGGCTCAGTACACAGATGACTTTGGAAGATAAACACATTTGTTTCTGGAGACTTAAAAAATAATGACATTCCATTGTTGCAGGGAGACTGCAATTTATTTACTATTCAGAGGCAAACAAGACAGATTTTTCTTCAACTGTACTAGTGATAAACACTATGGCAAGGTATTACCTTATTACACAGGAGGGCCGGAAGGGCTAGAGATACTTTTTTGATGTGTTAGTATCTTTTATTGTTTCAATGAAATTCCACTTTTCCTTCAACTTATAACGCTTCCTGGACACTCTAAAGCATAATTATTGGATATCTTAAAAACATCAGTTCACTTTGGTAGAGTTGTTTTCATTAAAATCTTTGTCATCTTCCAACTCCCAGAATCCAGATCTGGTCTGCCATCTTCCGATCCTCAAGCCCATAAAACAACCAGAAGTCTTTACAACTCACTGAGTTCATTAGCATTATTTCAACTCACTGACTTCCAGGTGAGAAGAGAGCTTATTTCTTGGCACATGTTCCCTCCATGATGTGTGCCAGGGTCACAGTGTAGCTTGCCTATCCCACATATGTGGGACTTACTGCTTCCTGAGGCATTCATTCCATATCCAGGCACTCGGATGATCCCTAAGTATAATTCCTCAATCTCATCTCTGCCAACTGTGGTAACTAGTGAAAACAATTTCTGATGCTATCTTTGGGTTTGGCTGTAGAATTACAAATACTCCAATTGGCATTGTTTCCAAGTTATACCAAAGGGGCCAAGTGTACATGTTTATTTAAGCAAGAAGTATTCATGCAAAAGTTCATTTGTAAGAGAAGAGATGTTGGCATTACTAAGGGTGATTGACACAAAGGATCTTGTGGTCTGGATGGAAGGTGAGTACAGAGGAACTTCTGACTTGGGGGTGGTTTTGAGGTTATATATAAAGACAACACTTCCTGTGTCAAGCCCTCTTTTCCAATAGTACTCAAGTTTCAGAAGAGATATCTTCATTTAAAACAGAGATGGTGTCTTCTCAGAGTGAAGAATCTGGTGCTTTGTTTTTCATACTGTTGACTCCAGCCAAGCCACCCTAGAAACCTATGTATAAATACATAAAACACTAAATCTTTGAGAGACTTAAGTTACTGCTTAGAATAGTCTTTGGTATCAGAGGTCAGAACTTAGTAGAACTCCAACTCAGAGGCAATTTGCTTCCTGCATTATGATGCAATGAGTAGAGACAGAGGACTCGGTTTCTACTTCTGAGATAATGCCTCCTTTAAATCATTTGTGGTTTTTGTTTTTGTTGGGTCTTTAAAAATCATTTGAATGTATTCTTAAATAATGAAGAGACCAAAAAGGTGTCAAGTAAGTTAATGAAGCCTGACAGGATTGCCTTTCTACCTGGAAAACTCCAACTCAACTGTACTTAGGGTTTTGTTTTGTTTTCTTTGTTTCTTACTTCCTCAAACTCATAACTTGTCATTTTGTTCAAGGGCCACAAATTCTCTCAGAATAGTGTGTCTGGTGCTCCTCAAGCCAAATTCATAAAATTAGCTATTAACTAAAGCAGAGCCATTTTGGTGATCCCCCCATCGTTAGACTGAAGGACAGGGTCACCCAAACCCATTGGTACAGGAACTACACTTTCTTAGCAAAAAAGAGCTGAAAAGCAGGGATGTTGTCAAGCAATGAGAGGAAGATGAGATAAAAGTAGCTTCCTGAGTTAGGCTATGAACACATCTAGCACAAGGGGCATGGAGGAGAAATACTTTAAGGTTTAGGTCAGTGATTTTCAAAGAGTGTGCTACAAGAATTTTTAGAACAGGCAATACATGACTATTTAGTCAGGGGCACTGACCCCTCTTCCTTACATTGTCAAAAAAATGACAACAGCTAACGTGACAATAGCTGTCCAGTGTAAATGCCGTGTCTTGAACCATAAGCCATATAGGTCAATCAGATAGAGTTCCATCCGATTGATCACGTTGCATAATAAGGTTGTGTCTGATTGGTTAATTCTTGGTACCAGAAATTCTTAATATATACAAGTACAGGCATGTGATTTTTTAAAAAGTCACTTTGAAGCAAAAAAAGTAGGTAATTACTATTATTACTTTTGTGTATAAATCAAATTTATACCTTTTTTTGTCCAATTGGCAACAACAAAATATATTTTTGGTGTGCCACAAGATTTTAGTAATTAGTTTATGTGTACCATGAGATGAAAAAGGTTGAAAATCGGTGATTTAGGTCATTAGGATTGTGGATCCAAGGGAATTCATGGAGCCTGGACTAGGGCTGCCTTGCCTATCGGAGGGCTTTAAGACTATAACTCTCTCAATACATAGAAAGATAGATACAGAAATAGATATACACACACATATCCCACCCTGCACGCTGTAAAAGGAAAGGGATACCAACCACGATTTCTCAAAAAGCTATTATCTGAAAACCAAAGTTCCGGGGTATCTGACCTAGAGAAACTATAGATTTAGCCTTTGAGGGCCATTTAAGTCAGAAATGGGTGTTTAAAAACTAGTGGCCACTTCCCATTTTGTAGTCAGTTCAGTATGATCCCAGGGTCCTGCATACGGGACTGCAGGCCCCTAACTAACTGAAATTCCCACTGTACCTGATGCTGCAGGAGAAGGGTGGGCTGAAGTCAGTAATTTTCCCTCACCAAGCCTTACACAGAGGTTGTTAACCAGCAGTAGAATGGCTTCTTAGGTTTCAGTTCCTTGTTATTTCTCCTGCTTAGAAATAGTGACAGACCTTTAGGTGAGGAGTGTGGAGGAAGAAGAATGGGAGAAGTAAGAAGTGAGGAAGGAGAGAGGTCACATTTTCATGACAGGAGAATGTGCCTTAGACAATTAAGTGTTGTCTGCATTTTCAGTTTAGATTCTTGGATAGTTCAGAGTTTCTTATTTTCTCTAGAAGAACAAGGCTTAAGATTATCCAAATCTGAAATCATGGTCCCAGGAAGTCCTCGTACCAAGCCTTAGGACACAGCTTCAGTAAACATTTCTCCTCTTTAAAATTGCTTTGCTGTTTGCGGGCTAGGATGGGGCTTCCAGTCAGAACAGGTCCCCTCAGGGAAAAAAAAATACAATAAAGATTAAATTAAGAAATAATTTAAAAATTAAAAAAAATAGGTGCCCTCTTTCTCAAAGACAAAACTTAAGGGCAAAGCTCTTAGCAGCACATGGAATCAGATGTCCTATTGTATTGTTTAATGGACGAATTCGAAGCAGGATGTGTGGATCAATGTGTACAAGGCTTATTTTACGCTGGTCTTCAGTATTACTCCTCATAAAACCAAATACCCACTCAGTCACTAAGTGACCAGATTCAGGAAGAAGCTTTTTCTGCATCTACATGAATGGCCTTTTGAATAATTGAGCAGAAAAAAAAGCATAGTAATGTGAAATATTCATACATTACTGAGTCAGTTCTAGCCAACTCATTAGAAATTTTTGTTTTGCCTGGCCACGGATGTCTCTCCAAGTTCTGAAGAGGGAGAGGCTAGTAGTAGTGTCCGAAAAGAGGGACGCTAACCAAAAAACACCTAAGGCATGAGGTTTATACTTTTCACCACTTAAAGAAAGCCCACATTGCAGGAGAAAAGCAGCTCTGGTCAGAGCTCTCTGGAGTAATAATCCCCAGAAATGGTAGCAGAGGGAGCAGCCACAGTGCCTGAGAGTCGGGCTCCTTGAACCATGGTCCCACAAACTGTGTTCAAGGACTTCCTGTTCCTAAAATCATCCTTGGGATCTGTCCAGTGAGGCTTGAGGTCCTAGGCTGAAAGCTGCAGATCAGCCCCATTCCCAGCAGAGATTTGCAGAAATGTCTGAAAGGCTGGGCCTTAGTATTTCAGGCAGGCATTCACAATCTCTATCTTGGGTCTCACTGACTCCGTCTCAGCACTGCACTTATGCCTCTGCCACCTCTCTTGCACTCTCACAAGACAGATGCAGCCACACGACTCCCAAGCCCACTTCTACTGCTGCCACCACATGAAGTCAGCAGAGAGCCACAACCGCAGAATGAAATGAGGGAAGTGGGACCGAGACACAAACATCCTGTCCTCACTACATTGAGTGGCTCCAACTTGAAAGTCAGGATCACAGAGCTGCCCAATGACACACATAAATTCATCTTCTCTATAGTCATTGCTATGGAGAGAGCATTTTATCCCAAGTCCATGAGTTCAAATGGTGCTAATCTTTGGCTTATGAGGTTGGTCATAGGAAACAGTGATCAGGAATGCTCAGCTGCTGACCAGGATGAACAGGAATTTATTGAGGAAAGCCTGGACAGGAGTTCTGCTCAGGATAAAGTTAAGTGGCAGCTAGCTGGAAGTTCCATCTCTTTCCACAGACCAGAACAGAAGGGATGAAATCGGTGGCAAAGAGTTCGAGCTGCTTGCTATGTTCAGTCCTCACCACTTTTTCAGGACTCTGCCATGCCCAGCTCTGTTCTTTGCAGAATGGGAGTTGGGGGTTTCTGGCCAGGTTTCACCTTGTATATGATCGCTTCCAGCTGAAGATCTCCTCCAGACTGGCAGAGGGAGAGACCTCCCGCTTCTGCAGGGTTCCCCAGCGACGCCGGCCCCCTAGCAATGAAGCTCGGTGCCTGCTCAGCCCTTTCATCCTTTCTTCTGTTCGGAAAAAGTCAGTCAAGGCCCGGAAGTACTCCAAGATGACCTCGTGGCTCCATGCTGGCAAGGGCTCATGGCGCAGGAAACCGCAGTGGCCTCCATAACGACTGAGCAGGAGGAAGAAATAGGGGTTGTTGTGAAAGAGTTCAGTAGGCACAAAGTGGTCTGGGGGCCCACACACAGGATCATCAGTACTACAGATACACAGCACAGGTACAGCTGCCTCGTCCACATCCCGGAGGGGGTCGTTGTGGTCCCAGTAGGTGTCCCAACTGATGGGGAAATTCTTGGTGTGGCAGAAGAGGGTCTCCTCAAACTCTCGCAGGGAGCGGCTCCTGAACAGTTTGTGAGTGTCCACTGCATCCTCCAGGGCTGTGGCGTACCTGGCAGCAAGAGGTTGAATAGGGGAGGTAGGAAAGACAGGGAAGAATTAGAAAACAAACTGACAGCAGTAGCTACAGACCAGCAGCCCACAGGCCAGATTCTGGCCACAGAGGCTTGCTTTGGCCACATGTTTTTAAAAACTTTCATTTCATTGTCATCATTTAAAATGCAGCTATCTGGCTCCTCTAGGCAAATGGCGACATGGCTGGCATTCCTGAGGGCAACAATCAAAGTATTTCCTCCCTCCTTCCTGTGTCACAGCAGCACTACCTGCCCAATCCTGGGGCAGCAGTTGACTTTGCAGCCACTGAGCTACAGTGGCAGCTCTTCTCCTGACCTCAGCTTCTGACCCTCTTTGGGGAACTTGAAATGAACTGCACCTCCTGAACCCCTCATAGAAGAACTCATTGGCTCAGACTAGCCAAACCAGCAGGTGTCCCCTCCTCCATGATTAACCTTTTACTTTAGGTTGTATTAGTTTGTTTATATTTTAGAGGCCAATATGCTATCCAGATCATGACAAATGAATGCGTGGAGAAGGTATTCCTAGAGAGGGCTGGATCACAGAGGAAGTGACTTTAATTAATTTACTGGGTGAGTTACCAGACAGGAGTCCGAGAGCAACTGTTCTGGGGAAGAGGGATATCTTTGCTGTTACCATTTCCGTGGAGAGAGCCTGGGACCCTGATGAGGAGACCAGGATGGGCAGCACAGACCTTTGGATGGATCAGTCCAGCATTAGCCCACTGAATTTGGATGCGTGTCACCTGAAAACATTCAAAGAGGCTTGCCCTGAGTTTCTAATCCTGAAGTACCATGGGCAGGGCAGTTACTTAAAGGCTCGGGTTTCCCCTCCTCTTTCCTCACCTTGTCCTCCAGGTGGTACCCGGGGTCAGTGCTAGTGGTGGTCATTTGAAATGGAAACAGGCAATGAAGCCATATGAGAGCACCTTGCCCCCGGATTGCTTGGGTGGCCCTGGGCTGCCATTGGCAGAGTGCTGTTGTTGAGCTCAGGAGGCAAAAGTTTGGGGCAAGGAAAGAAAGAGAAATCACAATTGCCACCATTTATGGAGCACCTACACCAAGCCCTCACTTCCATCATTTCATTTCATGCTTATAACTAACTACCTTGGGAGGTAGTTTAACTCTATTACCTGAAGAGAGAAGTGAGGCTCTGAGGAGTTCGCTAACTTGCTGGAAATTCAGGATTTGAACTCAAGTGGCCTGACTCCACTTTGCAGGTCTTCCTGCCACACCACACTGTTGCCATAAAGTCTTTAACCTCTTTCTGGCATCTCCTAGGAAAACAACAGTGCTGTGCTGTGGGAATATTGCTCAGGCCTGTCTCACCTGCCTCCCTGGTGGTAGGATAAATTATTCTCTTTTTAGAGATTTTATTTAAAAATTATATTTAAATATTTTTTCATTAAATATTGAATACATACCTAGGAATATGCAAAACATTTGTCAGGTCTAAAAAGTTTTAATAAATCAAATACAACCAAATTTTTTATTTCTGTCGCCTCCAGGCTCAAAAGGCTATTAGGGAACATTCTGGACACATAATCAGTTGCAATTACTTCCAGAGCCCTCTGTTGATTTGACAAGCTACAGACAAAGTGGTAAATGTCAGGCTCTGCCTCTGCTGTGGGTGGGACAGGTGCTCAGGTTGCTAGGACACGATGGGGCTGAGGTGAGGCCAGGGGGCCCAGGGCAGGAGGCCCTGCTTAGCACAAAGATGCTGACTGAGTCGTCCATGGATTTTAAACCGGCTTCCCTGGTTCTTTCTAGACTAGAGGGTTTGGACAGCTTCAGACAGTGTGTGAGGAGAACTTCGCCCAAATTGCACTAGACCTGTTTGAGTCAATACCAGGCAGAGCTGTGTCTCTGCTAGCCCCAAACCTCAATTTCCCCCTTACCGGTCTGCGGCCTCCGTTACCCACCTGCTGAGTGCGATCTTCTGGTGGAGCAGAAAGCCTCTCTCGTAGGGCCAGGGCAGGCCGGCCTCAAACCACTCGCGGCAACGCAGCACCGGCGAGATGCAGGCGGCTCCCGTCACGTAGCTGGAGGAGCCACACTCTCCCAGGTAGGACAGCAGCAGCCCCGAGCCAGAGCCCTCGCTCACCGCGAACAGCGGGGCCGCGGGGTGTCGGAAGCGGATGTAAGTTACCGCCTCCTTGAGATCGGACGGGTCCCCGAAAGACTGCAGCCGGGGGCTGACCAGCGGGCAGCCGTGGTGGCCGCGGCGGTGGAAGATGACCGGGTAGTAGCCGCGCTCTAGGGCGAGCAGACAGAGGCCGAGCACGTTGCGGGTGAGGCGCCCCCACGCATTGGGGATCACTAGCAGCACCGCCGGAAGGCCCCCAGCGTTGGTGACTCGGCGGCCCCTGGCGCAAGGTCCCACCACCCAGTCCAGGGCCACCAGCCCGTCGTCCGCTAACTGCAGGTACTCCCGGGCCAGCTCAGGCCCCGGCCCCACAGGCAATACGAAGTGGCAGAGGGTCTGCAGGTGGGGCCCAGAGAGCCAGGAGCGCGGGCCGGGCTCCAGAGCTGCTGAGCGTCGCAAGGCGCGCAGCAGGCACTGAGCCAGCGCCGACGGCTTACAGATGAGCCTGCACCCGCCGGGAAGCGGCTCGCGCCCGTTGCCTAATCGATCTGCCGGGCCTCCGCTGTCCGCCTCCTCGTCGTCGTTCCGGCACCGAGCCCCCTGCAGTGTCTTGGCTCCGACGGCGCACCTCGCGAGGCGTCGCAGACGCAGGGCGAGCAGGCCAAGCAGGGTGAGCGCGGCCAGGAGCAGGGCGAGGGCGGCGCCCCACGGCGGCATGGCGAGGCAGGAGAGCCCCCGGCGGGTGGCGGACAGCGGGCGGCAAGCGATGGGGCAGTCCCCTGGGCGAGTTCCCCGCTCTGCCCGCGGCTCCGCCCGACTGCGGGCAGCTGCCCAGGGCCCTCCCGCGCGGGGGGGCGCTCTCCGGATTGGCCGCGGCCCCGCGGAGGCAGCCAGTTCGGGCCTGGCTCCCCTCGCCCGCCCCCCACTCCCGCCCCTGGCCCTTTGTACAGCGATTGCGACAAGCAGGAGCAGAGGGTGAAAGGAACCGAGGCCACAAAGAGGGAGCGAGGACGCGCCGGCGAGCCGGAAGGAGTGGGGAGGGCAGCGAGCCGAGGAGTGGGGTGTTGGCGGCAGAGAATTGGGGAGACTGCGAGACCGAGGCTTGGGGGACGGGGATGAGCAAGAGTTCCGTCCCCTCTTTCTCGGCCCGCGTGGTGTGTAGCTGGGGGTGAGACCCTGCGTCCTCAGGGGCAGCTGTTGAAAAATAGCAAAACGGAGAAGTGGATAAACCACAGCTCCCAGCGCGGGCTCCCGGGCTCTCCGAGCTGCCGGCGAAGCCACCAGCAGCACCTCCCTCTTCGGGCTCGGCCGCGCTCTCTGACCTTGGTGTTTCTCCCGACCCTGTGGGCACCAGCAACTGCGCAATACACCAGCCGGGAGGGGGTCTGGCTCTGGGCCTGCGAGGACCAGGGCAGGCGGGTTTGCGGCGAGAGGCAAGAGCGCTGGTGGGCTGCGCGTCCCCTTCCCTGAATCAGTGCGCTGTCCCGTCCCCTCCTCCCCGAGAGCCTGGCTTCAGAGAGAAGAAATCTTTAAAATTGCTCCCCAGGAAGGACTTCCCCAGATGAAACAGCCCGACGCCTCCGAGAAAAAGCTGGGGAAAAAGAGGCACTCAGGTGCTGGGTGAGGGAGATGCCTGTCACCCTGTGATGGGGCTGTGACAGGGGGTAGATTGCAGTCCCTTCATCAGGTCAATGGCTAGCAATTACTGGGGGGTCGGGGAAAGGGTTAGGGACCCCTTTGTAAGTCACAAGTATGTGAGGGATGACTGAAATAACACGTTCGTGCTCTATTTGGAAGTTTGGAGCTAGGCATCTCAATCCTCACTCTCCACCCACGTTTCCGTCTTTCCTCAAAAATCCTGAGCCGGGCCCCGGAGAAGGGGACCGGGGTAAGAGCAACAGAGGCGGCGCCCCGCTGCAGGGGAGGTGTGGCCACCGCTCGCTGCTGGGTGCGAGGCCTCCGGCTTCTCCACCTCACGGTAGTGGCCAATGTCTCCCTGTCTCCCTGGGCACACACTGGCCAATGAACGACATCGGAGGCGGAGGTGGGGAACAAAGCAGCACCGGGTCCGGCTCCGGCCTCCCAGAGCTTTTGGATGTGAGGAGGATGGAGGTCCGAGACCATCTCCCGCCGAGACTCCTCCGGGTTCGAGCCCTATTTGCGAGGGCAGGAGTGGGATGGGCTGAAAGTGAAGCTCTAGAGCGGGAAGTTTCCTTCCGCAGCTCGGACTCTTCACTGTGACAGGTCTGAAGCGAGTTTGTCGAAGAGTACACGTCTTCCCGCCTGGGCCATCGGGTCCACAGGGATCTCATTCCCGCCCTTCGCTCGGCTCCCTGACCCCACCCCGGCACTGCAGCAGCGCTCTCCAGGCCGCGGAGACCCGCTGGGACTAATGCCGAGCGGAGGAGGTGGTCCCCGTCCGCCTAGCAGCGCGCCGCGCTTGGGCCGGGCTCCCACACAAAACTTTTCCGGCTTGGGGTTCGGGACGCGTGCGCGCGCTGTCCGCGGCTCTGGGCGGGCATCGGGGCGGGGCGGAGGCGGAGCGAGAGCCGCGCGGAGCTGTGGGGGCGGGGCGGGGCGAGGCGAGGCTGGGGGCTTACGGGTCCGGGGTGTCCCGGCGCGCGGTCTGGTGCGGGGGGTGGAACGGCGCGCGCGAGCCCGGGGTCTACGTGGGCGCGTGGGGCGCGGAGGGGGAGGGGCGGGGCATGCTCCCTCCCTCCCTCGCTTGCTCGGGCGGCGGGCTCGGACCGGGATGGCGCCTCCTCAGCCGTCGCCCCAGCTGTTTCTCCTGGCAGCCCTGGCGGGGCTCCTGAGTCCCACTGAGGTAAGGCGACCCGCTCCTGAGGCGGCTTCGGCCGGGGATCTCAGAGCGCTTTGCCGAAAGTTCGTCCTGAAAGGAGTGGCGCGCGGAGAGCGGACTAGGATCCCTCCCCTGGCGGGCTGGGCCTGCCTGGACTGGGAGAAGGCAGGGCCCTCGCCCAGACCAGCGCCCTAGCTCTTCTGCGCCTTGGACCCACAGGTGATGGCCGAGTCGGCGGAGGAGGCGGGAGCCCGTTGTCCGGAGGGCCTGTGGCCTCTTCCCCAACAGGTAGGAGCCTGGAGGGCGGTGTGAAGGGTAGCCCCGTTCCGCTCTGGCCTCTCTGCACCCTCCGCAGTCACCCTCTGAGGACCTCTGCCGGTCCTCCGTCCCTCAGTCGCCAACGTCTTCAGTCTTCGTCCCAGCCTGGGGGCAGGGGGCCTGCTCTTCCCTCCCCACGACCCACAGAATCTCGCAGCTCCTTTAAGCTCTCCTCTTTCCCCATGCATAGGTGTCACCACGAGTGACCTACACACGGATGAGCCCACGGCAGGTAAGTACCACAGGAGCCACTAGTTGTCTGCACTTGCAGGCTTTCTCTGTCTTTTCTGCTCATCAGCTCCATTCTTTACCCCTTCCCTCAGGAAGAGGCAGTGTTCTTAGTCCCGACGACAGTGAGCCAAAGGCCTGTCCCCTGCAGTGCCGTGTGGGCAGAAGGCTGGCTGCAAGGAACTCTGGGGATAGTAGGGAAAAACAGCTCGCGCCCAACTCTGCTGTGTGACTGTGGGCAGTCTCCTGCCTTCTCTGTGCCCCGGTTTTCTGTAGTGCCCCTACCCATGAGGAGCAAATGAATAGTGTGTGGCAGCACTTTGGAAAGTACAAAGCTGTATAGTGTAAGGAGTGTGCCACAGGTTACTGGATTCCAAACTGTGGGTTCACCTTGCATGGCTGCCTCTCTGTTTTTGCCAGTGTCCAGATGGCTGCCGTGTTCCTTTGGATTTCCTTTTGAAATATCTCAGTTTTTTGATCCTTGTAATAGTTCCAGGCCAAGAGACCTCATTCCACCTACCTGAATGCTTTCCTCAAACAGCCCTTTCATTAAGTTATTCTACTATTAGGAAACCTTTGATGGCTCCTTATTTCCCACCTTATCGTGGCCGTACTCCCTTGCCTGGCTTTTCAGCCCCCACCTAGTTAAATAAGCCTTGTCTGACCTTCTCAAATCTGGTTCCTCTCCAGCCCTGTTGGTCTGCTCATGCACCACACAAGTGAATGCCAGTCTCATTCCTACTGCTGTATCTTTGCTCCTGCGTATTCTCCTCCACACCTGTCCTGTCCTGACCTGAAGCTGAAGCAGGCAGCTCCCTGGCCACCTGCCATCCACACCCATCCATCTTCAAAGCCCAAAGCAGGAGTCAGCTCTCCCATGAGACCTTGCCTGATCACATCAGCCCTTATTCATCACCTTCTCCAAATTTGTGTGATGCTTATAATTTATCTCGTAACTTAACTAATCAATTTGAGTTTTATTAGTTTGTTCTTTCATTTGCATTAGTTCTGTTTCCCTGAGTTTTCTTTACATTCCCTGCAAGCAGAGTCCAGGAGTTCTCTTTTGGCATCTCCTACAGCATCTGGCACAGTGCTGAGCATCAGGTCAGCTTAATCAAAGAATATTAATAATTGAAGTGTTTCCCTCCTGGGATTGTGCACCTGGTTCCTGTGTGCCCTGTATTTGGATGCTTTTGGAGACTATTTAGATGGGATTGATGAAAAGAAGACCTGGTCTTCATATAGGGGATGCTTGCAGTCTAGTCTGGGGACCTGTAGAGCCATCGTTGCAGGGGCATAGCTAAGTGTGGTCCGAGTCTGACAGGGATAACCTGGCACGCTGTCATGGAAGCTGTGAGCTCTGAGGGGTGGTACTTGGTAGAGAAGGGGTGAAAAGAATGCTTGGATGCAAGAGGGAGCACATGTCAGTACCCAGGATCCTTTGTCCTTTCCTGAGCCCAGATGGTGGAAGGGTCATGAAGCCATCCTGGGAGTCCCTTTGACCTGGCCCCCAAGATGGGAGAACTTGGGATTCTCAGGGAAGGACTGGGCCTGGCTTAATGTCTCCATGCCTTTTCTCCAGGGTAAGGATGTCAGCTTCTTCTATCACCCCTGTGCCCACCCCTGGCTGAAGCTCCAGCTTTCCCTCTTGGCCCACATTTATACGGCCCAGCCCTCACTTGCTCCTGACTCTAGCCTCACTCGGGATCGGGTAAGTGGTTGGTGAAAGTTGGTTGTCTGGCACTGGCAAAGGCTGCAGCCCCATGTGCAGGGAAAGGAAAATTCAGGGGCTTCCTCTGGCTCTTTTTCCACCTTCATCTTAGTTCTAACAGTTACCTCTTTTGTTTCATAGCCCCTGGTATTGGAAGCACAGGGGGTGGTACTGGAGATGGCATGGGTGGAACCAGCCTGGGCTGCCTACTGGCTAAAGAGGAGGCGGCGGAAGAAGCAGAGGAAGAAGGTATGGTTCCTCTCTGGCAGCCTTTCAGGGCCCTCTCCCTTGGTGCCAATGCCAGGCAGGAGGAGGCTGTGCCAGAGAGGGTGTGTGTAGGTAAGGGGTGCTGGGCCCAGGCTTAGTTGGTGGTTTGGTCATTGGGTCATATGGGCAGAGAGAGGATGAGCGTTGTCTCTTTTCCCCTTAGGCCCTGGCTTTGGCCTTTTCCCTGAGGACCTGGCGGCCCCCAGGCACAGAGGTGGCATCTAGAGGGCCCAGGCAGCACTCTCCTGGCAGTGCCAAGAAGCGTGAGCTGCGGGCTGCTCTTGGTCACCAGCCCACTCCCTCAGCCCTGAGGCTCCCCTCTGCTTCCCCATGGAGCTTGGAGACCAGGCAACCCATGCTGGGAACCTCGGGTAATGCCCCGTTTGTGCCCACTGCCCCCCTGCTGCCTGGGGGGCCTGGAGGCAATTCCAGTTCCAGGTTAGAGGCTCAGGTGCCCAAAGGGCAAAGCAGCCCAGGTGGCTGTGCCTGTCCAAACCAGGCTTCCCCAGCCCTGCGGGCAGTGGTGCCTCGGCGGACAGCCCGGGGCCCCACCCCACGCACGGAGGAGGCTGCCTGGGCAGCCATGGCCCTGACCTTCCTGTTGGTGCTGCTCACCCTGGCCACACTCTGCACTCGGCTGCACAGAAACTTCCGACGTGGGGAGAGCATCTACTGGGGGCCCATAACGGACAGCCAGGACACAGTGGCTGGTAAGTTCCCTTCCCCACCCAGCTGCCCTGCCCTCCATCGCTTCTCTGCCCTGGATTGTTTCCCACCCTGTCCCTAGCTGTGCTGAAGAGGAGGCTGCTGATGCTCCCGCGTCGGGTCAAGCGCTCCCGCCGGAGACCCCTCCTCCCGCCCACGCCAGACAGCGGCACGGATGGGGACAGCTCCGACTGACCTGCCCCATACCTGCCACTGTGGCATGTTCTGCTCCTCCTACCCGGCGAGGCCGCGACCTCTGCCACGTGGACCGCGCACAGGGCCGCCCCCTGGCGGCCTGATGGGGCAGTCCTGCCTAAGCATTTGCAAAGAGGTTTACCCTTAAAAATGTTTTTTTTGCGGGCAGGGGTGGTTGAGGAGAGAAAAAGGAGCTATGTAGCTTCCCTTGCCAAAACTGTATTTTTAATTAAATTATTTTAGTAGAACCTCGCGTTCAGTTTGTACATCTGCCCTACGGACACACTCCCACCCAGGACACTGCTCTAGGTCACTTAGGTTGTGTGCAAGGCAGGGAGTTCATAAAATCAAGTTGGGCACTACCAACCTGGCCCTAAAGGTAGGGTTTAGGGGCAATGGTGGTGTTACTCTAAGCTCTTTCTCTAAAAAACAGGAGGGTCCCCCTTCCCTCAGTGCCTAGATTTGGAGCAGTTTGTCTTCATTGGCTTCATGCTGCTGACAGATTTTTCATTCTCCCTTTCAGGTTCACCACCTTCCAGTCTCCCCTCAATTCTCTAAGTACCAGAAACAGCACATGGTCACTTATTTATTTTTGATACAAATGTACATGATACACATCTTGACAGTCAGCCCACCCACCACCACACAGGTAGAGCCTGGCCCCCTGGGACAGAGGCAGGACAGGGACAAGAGCTGGTGGGTGCTGCCATCTGCCTCTCCAGCCTTCCCAGGCTGCAGCCCAGGTTCCAGGTACCCAGACACCGCAGGCACAGGTGCTAGCCTCTCAGAGGTTATAGGGAGGGGCCTCTCAGCTGAGTCAGGGACCCCGGGGAACCAGCCCCAGGCTCAGGTGCTCAGTTCTCTGCCCCAGCCAGCATACTCCCCCTCCACAAGGGAGGGGGAGGAGAGATGGAGGGAAGTGGTTTCCATTTTAAGTTCATAAAGAAGGGGTACGCGTGGCGGGAGTAATGAGGGGAGGCAGTGGGCAGGACCCCAGCTGGTTACTCTGGCAGTCCCTGGCCCCAGGGTGGGTGAGGGGTGGCTGACCCCCAGTGCTGGTCCTGCTGCTCTGCTCCCTCACCCCTTACAGAACTCCATATCGGCCAGGCCTCTGGAACGGCACTGCCGCCCCCGACACTCGCACGCAGGCACGCAGGGACACTCGGTTACCACAAGGTTAAAATTAAGGGGTAAAAGAGAGGAAAGAAAAAAAAAAAAGATTTTCCAGTGTTTGCTGCTGGGGACCCCGGGAACACAGGTTGGCGCCTGTGCCCTAGGCAGGGGCCGTTTGGCATTAAAGGAGAGCAGCATGGGGGCTGGTGGCTACATCCACAGAGATTATGTACAAAGGGGGGGACGCCCCCACTCAGCCCCTAGTAGGGCTGAACTGGCTCATGGGGGTGGGATGCATGTAGGGGGAGCCACCCCACTTTGGAGTGTCCCCAACTGACCCTTTGCTGAGGGTGCCCTGGAGGGCAAGGGGCTGGGAGTGATGCCTTACAGGCCCCTGCACGCTAGAAGGGGAGGGGATGCTATGTACAGGGGGAGGTACATGGAATGTGGGGGACAGAAGCTCCTGCCACCCCACCTCCCCATCCTTGGGGGCTTGAGGGGGGCGGGCACCAGGGCGCCTGGCTGCCAGAGGAGAGTGGCAGCACTAAGGGCACTTGTGCCAGCGGCTCTGTTGGGGTGGGGACTAGTGTCTGGAGTGGCCCAGCTCCCATGGCCAGTGAGGTCCCAGGGTGTAGGTGAGGGGGTAGGGAGAGTGGTCACTGCTTCTTCTCTCGGGTGGTGATGGTGACCAGCTGCTTGGCAGCCTTGGCGATGTCATAGGCGCACTGGATCACCTGCTGAGTCAGCAGCTGGAAGTCCACGGGGGCGCCAGGCTCCGGAGGCACTGTCTTCCGGCACTCACTCTGCAGCCGGTAGGCGCTGGCATTGAGCAGCCGCAGAGAGCTGCGTACAGGCTCCAGGGCTGGTCTCTGGAGGCAGGAAAGAGCGAGTTGGGCCTCGTACTTCAAACTCTGACCTTTGATTGTCGCAGGGTGTATCCGTGTCTACACCTGCCCCACCCTTAGGCCCTCCCAATCCTGTTCCTCTCTCTGGTCCCAGTACCTTTGGGAAGAGAGAGGCCATTTCAGTCACAGCCAAATGGATCTTCTCTGAACAGGGCACAAAGCTGTGGGAAGAGAGGAGGGTGTAAATTAGGGGGGGCTCTCAGGGAAGGTTCTCAGGACAATGGAGTGGAACACTGGCCCCTCTCTTGCCCTCTGCAACACCGACAGGCCACAAGAGCATGTATCCCACCCCCATACCTGTCATGCTTAAATTCCTGGGCAGCCCGCAACAATTCCTGAATGTTCTTGGTGACCTGCTCGGTCTTCAGGATGACGTCCTCCGTGCTGGGAAGCCCGGGGTCCAGGTCGCCATCCAGGCTTTCCAACTCTGGGTGGAAGTCCTCCTCCTTGCCCAGCTCTAGGAACCTTTTCCCTTCCAGCCTGAGGCCCAGGGTTAGAAAGAAAGGCATTCCCGGCATGAGGTCTCTGGCCTGTGCCCTCAGACACCCCAGGGCCCATGTGACCTCCCTCTACCTGTGTGCCTCACCCTAGCAGGGGGTCCCCGCTTTGCGTGTTCTCATAGTCACTGTCGGCCCCGCTGCCGTGGCGGGAAAGCTTGCTCTGGAAGGTGCAGGGAGGGCGGCAGGTGAGGTGCACTCCCACAGACCCGCCCAGCCTCCCATCGCCTCCCATGCACACATCCCACTCAGCCTGCCTCTCGGGCACAGGGGATGAGATGTTACCGTGTGGCGGCTTCCTTCCTGGGAGCACGACAGCAGTGGGGAGGGGGGTGTGAAGGGCACAGCCGAGGCTGAAACCCCCTTCCGGACCTGAAACCCAGGACAGCTGGAGTCAGTCTCTCCTCCTCCCCGTCACCCACCTCCAGCTTCCCCGCACTGAGGGTGGGAAGTGTGTATGTCCAGTCATCCCTGTGCCCAGCCTCCAGCACAAAGCCTGGCACCCGCTGGGGCCCAGAACCTATCTGTGAAAATGAACCCACCTGCCTCAGGAACCGCTTACCCGGTAAAGGCCGGCAGGGACATGCACTGAATAGATGGTGTCATCCTCCAGCTCCTGGGGGTTAGCATAGTGGGGATCATGATGGGGCCCCATGGCACACCCAGCTGTTTCCCCACCGCCTTGAGCTGGCAACTCACAGTGCTGTGGAAAGGCTGTAGCCGGGTGACAAGCTCGTCCCCAGGTGGGCCCCCAAAGGGCTTCAGGGCGGAGCCTGGTTCATACATGGAGAAGGCCTGGCGATCCCTGCGGTGGGCACTCCCACCAGGCCCCATGGATGCATGTTCTGCCCGTTCGCTGGGGAGTGGAGGCGTGGGCACTGGCCCAGGCGGCTGCCGGATCTGCAAGTTCTCTGCCTGCAGCTTGTGGATCTGAGAGTGAAGTGGTGTCAGAAACTCCCGAAGGTCCAGGCAGCACCCCCACCTCCCCGCTGGGGCTCTGGGAGCCTCCACTCCCACCTAGGCTACAGCCCTCACCTCCCTCTGTAGCCTCCGGAGCTCGTCACTTAAGCTACTGTTGACCTTCATGAGCTGCTGCACCTTTGCCTCAGAGGTAGCCAGGGCCTTCTTCAGCTCCAGGTACTCCTGCAGCGTCACGGCCCCATCGGACAGGTCTGACGAATCCATGCTCTGCAGGGTGAGACATAAGCCAGTCAGCCACCAGGGGCAGGGGACAAATGCCCTCAAAAGGCTGCTCTCAAAGCTGTGACCAGCCTACTTGCCCCCCAGGCCCTGGGCTAATGAGAGGACAGAGCTGGGCCCTGATGGAGGACTGAGGGCCTGAGGAGAAAGCGGGGAGGGGCAGCGCTCAGACCCGGGCACGGTTGTTCCGCGTGGCGCCGGCGCTGCGCAGGGGCTCCTGGTCTGTGTCCTCGTCTGAGGCCACGCTGTCGTAGTCGTGCTGGTCGTCGAGGTCACTCTGGCTCCGTGCAGACAGCTCGAGGTTGTCTGAGGGCACAGGCCTGTCACTCAGGGCTCAGTCACATAACCCATCTATCATGCTACCCCAGAAAGGGAGCCATGAAAGAGAATATCCTGGAACAGTGCCCACCGCCCGCACATCCATCCTCGCCCTTCCTACCTGTGGGGCTGCTCAGGCTCTTGCCCTGCTGTCTCCGCTTGGCCTCGCTGAGAATGTCAATGATCAAGGTAGCAAACTCTCGGGCATTAAAGCGGGCCAACTTCTGTCGCCCCTGCGAGGAGAATGGGCCAGACAGGCATGAGGGGGCCCCTGCTATCTGCTATAACCACAGCTAAAAACATCCAGCCCGGCTCACCTGGCTGGACAGGGGGTGAGGGATGGCAGAGACTACGGGTGCCTGGGGGGTGGTTCTCAGGAAGAGGCAGGAACCCAACCCCCAAAGGCTGCTCACCAAGTGCTCAAAAGAACAGCCTCTTCCTCACTCCCAAGTCCCGGTGCCAGCCGGGCCTGGAGGGAGGCCGTGGTCAGGGGTGGAGAAGAACAAGCTCAGTCCTGGACAACAGCCGGTGAGGAACGGCAGGGCCCAAGGAGCTGGAGACCCCAGGAAGGAAGGAAATAGCTCCAGGCCCCCCCTACCAAGCCTCCTCACCTGGTTCCGTGTTGCTGAGTATTCAGGGTTAACAGGCAGGAAGGGCACAGCACTGCGCTCTGTCACCAGGGTGCTGTGGTTTTGGGTAGCCAGCCACACTGTGGGGGAGGAGCAGGGAGTAGATTGTCCAGGGTGGCCAGGCCCACAAGCGGGTTGGGGTCAATGCTAAGCATAGCTTCCTAGCTCCTCCCCATGTCCACTGAGCTTGGTGATCAAAACAGGGGTGGTCTTCAGACGGGTGTTGGGTAAGGCCAGCTGGGGGCCGATTGACAGAACAAGGTGACTCCCTCATGCAAGGCCCAGCTGAGTTTGGGCTGGAGTCTGGATGTGGCCAGGAAGGAACGATGGGAGGAAGGGGCGGGAGCAGGACTGGGGAGAGAGCCAAAGTGGGAGGTAGCTAGAGCAGAGATGAGCCCCAGCCCGAGGGTGGGGTGGGAGGAGCGGGCCGGCTGCCTCTGGCTCAGCACTCTGCCCAGCTGGGGAAGCTGCCCAGGCGGGCTCACAGCTGGCAGGGGCTCACATGCAGGCTTGCAGAGCAGACC